TAAGATCCGTCCCATCCCAAGGATTGAATTTTTACGTATTTTATAGTAGTGATAAGAAAGTGAGTAACCGTTTTTGTAAAATGCTATCGTAAAATATGGCTCTCTGAGGAAATATCTGAAATAACTGTGACATAAAAAGTGTTTTCAGATGTATTCATATATAAAATTACATATCATAAAAAATTAAATTTATATTTATAACGATTATTATTAATATATATTATTAAAAAATAATAAATTATATTATATTAGCTTATTAATTATATAGCAAAGTAAATATTAATTATTAAAATTTTATTATTACGGTAAAAGATCTTCTTTATTTTTGCTTCTTTGTTTAAAAAGCTTTTAGTGTTAAAATTTAGTGTTAAAATTTAGCGTTAAAATCTTGATTTTTATTTCTTTTTAGATACAGGTAATATTTCTAAAGCTATCTTAATTTCTTAAAAGTTAAAATTACAACTTTAAATTTACGAAAATATTTTATCGCAGTAGAAGCAACAGCGTAAATGTCACACGTGATTATTATTAAAGTTGCCAAAAGACGGTATATTAATACAATATGACGATGGAAGCAGCGAACAAGACAAGTCGTAAAGTTCATTCATCAAAGTTTGGGAGCAAAACACTCTCTGGGGACGCTTATACATAAGAGACGAAGGAGGCATTACACGGCCGAAGTTTACCAAATTTGCGTTACTCTCAGTAGCTTATTGTTACCGCAGAATTTGCATCGTTGTCTCTTAACCTATCGCCTTCTTCAAACTGCTTAGTCATTTCATGTGCAATATGACATTTTTTTCTTCATGAAATATTGAAACTGTATAAATTTAATGGCAAAACAAAATGACAAATATAATGAAATTACCGAAGGTTCGAAGGATAAAGCAGTCGAATAAGGAGTCAATATGTAATTTAAGTATTTAAGGGATGTAATAATAGAGTCTTCGCATGCATGTTATAAAATCTTAACACTGAATAATTTATAAGTTAATTTATTAGTATTTATATATTTATAATTATCTATAAATGATATTCATTTAAACAGCTTTAATTTAACAAGAGCTTTATGCCACATACTCTTTTTCCCTAAATTAATAAAATATTTTACAAGCGATAGATTTATTTTAATACAGATTAAGAGTCAAACAAGATTTTTTTGCACATATTCACGGTAATTGTCGAATTGTATTCGATAATCTACGCGCTTTTGATCGCACAGGAATTTGACAATTAGTTTAATGAAATATACAGTCGATTTTTCAAAGGATAATCCTCGCATAGGGACAACCGGAATGCGTGCCATTGCGATAATTCAGTCGAAACTCGCGTTGTTTTCCTGATCGTGGACCATTTATAAAGTATATATACGCTTTAAATTGCTTTAGCGAATAATTTTACGCGCCATTTCTGTAACCCTCTCAATGTCTACATTTATCACAATATCTCTCTTGCTTCGCGATGTTCATTACCGATTGGCCGCGTAATGAATACGAGGCGATGTTGAAGGCATGATATTAATGGCGTACGCGGATGCGGTTTCTCTCGAAATTAGATGCACCCGAATGTACGTGGAAACTGCACGAGGCAAATTGTTTCGTGCAAGCTAATTGTGGATGCATCGATAAATGATCAGTTAAATGTCAAGTGAAACATGATAGCTATTGCGCTGAGCTTTAATTAGGTCACCAAGAAGTCGAGAGAGACAGACAGACAGGCAGATAGATAGATTGACAGATAGATAGATAGATAGATAGATAGATAAGATAGATAGATAGATATACATATACTCTTCTAAAAGGACTGACATAATACAAAGTTTATATAATTGTTATGTAATCAATTATTACATAATTGTTACATCAATTAAATAAATTAAATAATGAAATATACATGTATACAAAATAAAATGAAAAATAAAGAAAAATAAAGTAAAGCAAAGAAAAAACTGTATATATGCATAAGCGATGAAACAAATAGAGAGAAAGAGAGAGAGAGAGAGATTTGTGACGAGTATAGTGAGATATTATATATAGAGATTAGTATTATTTCTGCACATACATAAAAACCTTATTTAAGATATTATATTTGTTTCTTTTCCTCGTATACTTTTCTTACTTTTCTTCTCTTCTTTTTAGTCTTTTATTACTTTTTCCAATTAAATACAAATTCTTGTTCATTTCTTACATCCACTTCCAAGAAATTTCCTAACGTATAATACAAGAGAAATTCTTTAGTCAATGATTACTGTTGATGTCTTGTATCGAATCAAGGATTATTGACATGTAGATGAACGCGTTAAATTAAGTAGACGGACAGTGAGAAAACTCGCTTCGCGCGCTGCTGGTGCGAAATATGCTCGCTAGTTTAAACGAACGTCTGCCCCATTTTATATGAGGCGAGCCGTAACGCTGTAACTATCAATTTACCTATTTGTCCAGACGCCTATTCATCCATTAATCTCCGTCGGTTGTCTAACGGGTGCTAAATTGCCTATGTATGCGCACGATGTTGATTCCTTTTTCTTCATTTGTCCGTCAAATATGGGACCGTTCCCCATTTTTAATATATTACTAATACGATACGTAGTATTTTTTTTTATAACCAACGCGAGTTATAAGTGTCATCGGACTCAATTAATTAAAATGTTTCTGTAAATCATTAACTTCGTTAAATTACGTAGAGTAACGAAAGAAGAGTCTTCATAATTCATATAATGATGTTTGGAGAAATGAGTTTTTACTCGATTGCACAATACGTTTTACGCTAGTTCAAAGAAGAATATTGTAAATATTATTTTAAAGCAGTATTTTCTTTTTTCCAACTTTCTCGCGCAATTATGTCTTCGCTTCGCTCACATTTCTTTCCGATTCTTTCATAAATACTATTCTAAAGGTGACCTTACCCGTCACCGATAGGTAATATTGAATCATAAGTAATACTGACAGTATGCAACAATATTTTTAATATTTTTACAACCTTACACGATTAATATTATTGACAATCTATTTCACTTTAATTTTACGTATATTATTTATTGCACTGTGACATACTATGATCCTAATAAAACGTCACTGATGCTCGAGAATCAAAATTCAAATCACTGTTCTACGTCAATATTAATAACACACGATCAATAATACTGTAAGTATTTCTTAACTGACAGTATTATTGACCATGTAAGATCACCTTTATATGTATTAAGTACATACTTCCAAGGGGTATCTTAAAGACGTCCAAAGAAATGTATACCTATGTTCTCTAACGTCCTAAGGAACGTTCCCAAGATGTCTTACATAAAATGCTATATGGGTTATAAAAACGTGTTACGCTAGACTATGTATAAAAATGATGGAGTGAGGTGTATGTATATACACGCGTGTATGTCGCCGAGAAAAGAGATATGCACTCGAGGACGGTGATGGAATGGGTGATCGATAGCGAATTTACACAAGAAATAATATCCTTCCGCTACGAGACTGTGTCTATTCTGTCGCGTATGTGTATCCATAGGTTGCAAACTGAGAATACCTTCACCGTTACGTATTTAAAATGTCGTATTTCTAATCCCGCGTGTGAAAGATCCGGTAATCTCTCATCCGCAAAAACGTTATTTAGGTCACGACTGACGTTAATTTCGCTATTACAGGACATACCTGTGGCGCGGACCGTACGTTGGCAAAATTACAATGGAATTTACAACTCCGAACTTTCCAACGGTTATGAAAATGTCGAGATCTAAGACTGGAAGCAAGAGTGACACAGGATTATTCGAAACATCCTAAGTACGCGAAAATCTAATGTTGAAATTGAAATTTTAGAGCGCATTCAGAAATTACGCGCGAGCTAGGAATTACTTTTCAAACTATTCTGTACAGAGAAGAGTTGCTGAATGCGTACCTCATCAATGTATTATTATATATTATTATATTTAATATATTATATTTTATATAAATTTAGGATCGGTTGCAATGTTACTTTGATTTTAAGCGAAACTTTAAATCTCTCTATCTTGTTTTAAAACTGAAAAGAGACAGGAACAAAAAGAGTTTTAAGCTTCGCTTAAAATTGAAGTAACGTTGGGTGCAACCGAGTCTTAGTGATAAAATTTCAAGTCCGTTTCTGTACAGTCGTTGCAATGTTCGAATAAATAATATCGAATAGTGTGGTTCGTTGCTCAATTTTTGAACGAAAATGTTAAACATCAAATTATTAAAAAAGAAATCTTTATATATATATATTCGAAATATGGGAGATCCAAATTCGAATTTCGGCTGAGACAATATTTTTTGCAATAAAATATTCGCAGATTTAAGATTTTAAGATTCTCATTAACATCACGTTACTAATATTCTTGCAAAGATACTTATTGACATCAAAAATTATTAAATTGCTTGTCAATTCAATAATATATAATGATATTACTATTCCAGTTCTACTTATAATTGCACTTTAAGCCTAAAAAAGATTTTGAAGTGCGGTTTGTAAAATTAGATACGATGTGTATTATAAATTCACACAGAAATATTAGGTGTTGGAATTAATTCGTAGCGTTTTTAATGTGATGGGAAGTACTTTCATTAATGTATTTTTTAATGCTCATGTGAAATAAATAACATTCTTTCATTAAAAACGCTACGAATTAATTCCAACACCTAATATTTAAACACTAAAATCCACTATGATTGAATATAGGAATATTCTTTTATTTAAAATTATTAAATTGCTTGTCAATTCAATATATGATATTACTACTCTCTAATTCTATTCATGATTGCATTTCAAGACTCAAAGGGATTTCAGTTTGCAGAATCAGATATATATATAAATTCATTTCGCGGAAATATTAAAGCACTAATATCTACTTCAACCGATAGTTTCTTACTTAATTAGATTTATTCTGATCGATATGTCCAATTTAGGATTATAATGGAAAATGTTGAAATCATGAAAATTTTGCATAAATTTCATGCATAATTCAGAGAAGAGACATTATCATTATGTGCAAGTGCGAAACGGTACTTGGTACTATTTGTTCGGACATCGCAACAACTACAGAAACAACTATCGCGAGGTTAGAACTATGTAGGACATGCAGGAATTGCAAACACTTCCACCTGTCACTCTGTGTAAATACATTCTACCAACGTTGATTTATATTTTTAAAAATTTCGTTTATATTTGTACCATCCATATATATTTCGAAATTCGAACTTTGATATTTCTAGACGCAGGCTATATTTGAGTCGTTCAGTATATTCGCGAACTGTTCGGCAAGAGTTTGGCATACGTATTTTCGCCTCGAGATTGAGGACTGTGCGAGAAGTTGTACGAATAGGGAAATCGCGCAGGGAATCACGCGAGTTGCATCGCGGGAATGATTCATCCATCGGAAAGTTCCACGATGTATCGATCAGTGTCAGATTGGTTCGCCTAATTAAGCAATATGTTCATCATTTTAATAAAACAGGCACATAAACGCGAGCGATGATGCGTCGCGGCGATACTAGTAATCATCATCGTCAATGTTGTCGAGTCCTGTTTCCCATTTCCGATATTACTCGCGGGCAAACCCGTTAATAATGTAAATTGTCGTGACCGGCTTTCTGTCGACATAAATCGCGCGTATTGACGCGAATCGGATCGCTTCATCAAAAGTCGGACGAGAGTTAATCGCCACATTTAATACTGACATACGCGAGCGTCATTAAATAAATGACAAAATTATGAATAATGAGAATAAATTTATATACAGAAAATTTATCTCGCGAGGGTAATGCGATAAAAAAAAGTCTTTTATTAATTTTAATAGTAACGAGACGAAATATTTATTAAAAAAAAAAAAAGTAGACGAACACAATAAAAAAAATCAGGGAAAATTATTTTTAATAATAATGAAACAAAAATTTATATGGAAACTCTGTTAAAACCAAATTGATATATTTAAAATAGAAAAATAGAAATGCACGTGGAAGCAAATAAGAATATATAATCAGAGTAAAATATTTAGAGTTTCTCGCAAAATCTAAATATTATTCTAATTATCATTATATATTCTTATTTGCTTCTATATATTTTTCTATTTTACATTTCTATTTCACAGTATGTATTTTATTGATCTCATATATATATATACATGTTTATAAATTACGGAGAGAAATTTATGAGATGATATCAAATATATAAAGGAGGAGCACGCAATAAAATATAAACAGACATCTTGTGCGGGAAGTGTACTGTAATTATGCAGTCGCGGCTCTGTAGAAACAACTCAGCGGTAGTCATTGCGCGAAATGATTAATTCCACTTGTACATCAAAGCACTTCAAAGATCTCGAAGTCTTGACACAGATTCTACAGAAGTTGGCAATGACAACGTGGTTTTAAAGACAGAGAGAGAAAGAGAGAGAGGGGGGGGGGGAATATACTTTTAATTAACTTATGCTACTGCATTTTGTCAGCTTATACCGAGTGTCCCTGTTATTTCGCATTTTTGGAGTACGGCAAAAAGAAAGTGGAAATAATCCATCTCTCGCGAGTTGCGAAACTTTTCATATCTTTCGTGCACCGAACTTGCGACCAAGAAACTTAAGACATGTTTTACTTGCGACCTCGCGTAAATAACTAGCCGAAAGCAAGACAGCGGTTTTTTGTGCGGGAAACATAATTGCAGAATTTCCCGGAAGGACAACTTAAAATAGATAAATTATGATAGTGAATAAGCAGAGATAAAATAAAATTTTGCTTTTAGTAATATTTAATTTTTTCCAGAATATACTTACAAATATATGAGCAATTTAATAATACAATGTAATATATTTTTGTAATATAATAAATTATATAATATAATATTTTTTGTAATATGTTTTTGTAAGAGAAAATAGTATGAAATATACACGATTTCGTTTCAGTTAAATCTGGTTGAAAATAAAATTATTTGAAATTATTGAATTAAATAGTACATATTTTTGAATGGATAATAATGGTTAATCTTTAGAGGAAGTTTATTAAAGTCTTGCGGAAAGAGAGAAAGAAAGAGAGAGAGAGAGAGAGAACTTTTCTTTAGGTAAAGTTTTATATGATTTATTATTTCATTCCTTACTTCAAAACGTGATACTGTTTCAGCACCACTATACTGGCTGTTCCGTTCTCTATAAAGGTTAAATCAGGATAATTACAACAGTATATATAATACTTAAACAAAGAGAAATTTTACAAAGAAAATGTATGTTAGAGAGATTAACAAATCCTTCAAAGCATAAACTCTGTACACACTCCTTTACTTTTATATAAATTACCACATACAGAATTAAATTTTATTAAAAGATTATTTTATCCCAATTATAACACGTATGGGATTTAAATATGTTTCCTAAATATTTGATGAGATATTTAGGAAATATATCACTTTCTAAGTATGTATCTAATGTTTTATGATGCTTATAAAAAGCATATGTAAGACCAACATGATTACTTACGAGTTATTATGTACATGTAACATATACACTGTTAAATCTATAGTGTTAAATTTAATTTAACGTGAGTCGCCACTGTTCCTATTAAATATATCGTTATTTTTTACCAAAATGATAATAAAATTTGACACTGTAGATCTAACAGTGTAAATTAAAATGTACATATACAAGTTACTACGCTGCCGTAACGTAAATTCAAACAGACAAATTAAATTAATATAAATCTGTTTGAATAATAAAAAAACTAAAATATCCGACATATTTCGATCATTGAGCAAATATAATGTTGATGCAGTTTTAAAATATTACGAACGTGACGCATTTCTGTCGTTTTTACTCGACGATCGCGTGTTCCTAGATAATCAGTAAATAGGCAAATACTTGAGTCGTGTGAGCACAATCGATCGGGCAAAGTTTATTTAGCGTTTATCGAAGCCGGACTGATCGTCTTAGTGAGCGCTGCGTAAATATTTACCATTTACGTGGCCGTGCTTGTCCTCTGCATCGCTGGATCAATCGATCGATCTCTCATATGGGAATATTCCCTTCGTTTTTGTTGCAGTTTAAGAACCGAGCAGCCTAGCGGCCTGGACACCGGCGGGGTCCGGCTGGAACTGAGTAAGGCCCTCGACCTCTGGGCCAGGAATTCGAAACTCACTTTCCAGGAGATCAATAGTGATCATGCCGATATTCTGGTCTACTTCCACCGGTAAGTTTAATTTAAATTAACTTTAATTGAAACTTCATTTAATTTAATAACCTACTTATCCTGATATGCATGTGTATATATTTTGATATTTTAAGTGATTGACTCCGCGATTGAAATTATTTCAACGCTAAAAATGTTTACGTTAAGCAAGAATGACATTTCATAATGAATACTTTGTTATTGAGTAGAATTTTGGGATTAATTAACTCACTATTATAATAATATAAATGAACAATAATTATTAAAGCATTATTAGAATGCTTGACATTTTAATGATAGATCTGGACACAGAGATAATCCACGAAAAGCATAGCTTCTGTAATACACAAAGTAAATAAAATATAAATAAACTGCCTTCGTAATTGTTCGTGCGTAAATAATATATTTATAAGGCTTTAAGATATAATTTGCAAACAATTGGAATATACTCACAAACTGCAAACATTTCGATTCTGCATTTGACAATGAGTCCTCTTCAGTATGGAAGTCAAGTACAAACTAGAATTCGTAGTTTATACTTGACTTCCGCAACTGAAGAGGACTCAAATCCAGAATCGAAACGTTTACAGCTAACTTTGTTGACATTCCAATTGTTTGCGAATTAATGCTTCATAAATACAATATATTATTTACTTACATTTGGTTTATTTTTGAAATCGCAAAATTATTTTTATTTTAAGCTATTATATATTATAATAATATAATATTATAATAATATATATTATAATAATTTAAATCAATTAGTTTTGATATTTGACAGTGATAGAAACTAGATTTAAGCGTTCAGATTCTAGACAGAATCTTTTAGAAATTTCAGCAGTGGCATATTCGAAACTATTTACATCGTATGTATAATAAAATAATAACGCGACTCGATACCATATAATTGTGTAAACTCGCAAACTCCTGATAGATATTAATTCTGTTGCACTGTTCGGGTTTATTTAACTAATAATTTTTATTTCTCCGCTATATTTTTATGCTATGAGTAAGCGTTTTCACATTTCACTTTGTTTTATGGCTCAAAAATATTAATCTGACTATAAAGTTTTAATAATTTTTTCATTTTCATTTCATCAACATTTTTTAATGTATAAAATAATGAGTCAGCTTATATTGATTATACAGTACATTCGAACAAAGCAGTAAGATTAAATTCAATAACTGATAATTTTGTTGGCAGAATGCCAGATAATATTCGCGTTGCACATTGTTCAGGGGTTATCATGGAGATGGATACCCATTCGATGGCAGAGGTCAGATCCTGGCTCACGCATTTTTCCCTGGCAAGGATCGTGGTGGAGACGCTCACTTCGACGAAGAGGAGATATGGTTGCTGGAGGACGAGAGCAACGAGGAAGGTAAGCAAATCAGAATTTCTCCGGTGGTTGTGCCTCAAATTATTCAAATCCCTCGCGCGAGCAATTGGAATATATGAACTCAGATGAAATAGCAAATATTTGAATGATGAGGCAAAAGAGAACAGACAAAAACTGGTTACTCCTAATAAATACTGTTTACTCCAATTTTTCGTAGCGAATGAACTATTTATTCGAGCTCCTTTCGAAGAGTCTGCTCGAATTGTTCGAAGAATTAAAATACTTCAAGTGTTATGTGAGTTGATTAATCATTGATTTGATTAATCATATTATCATTGTATAATATTTTTACAAATATTTGAACTCTCTCTCTCTCTCTCTCTCTCTCTCTCTCTCTCTCTCTCTCTCGAAATTTCCAACATTTTGCACGTCGAACTTCTCTCCCATTATTTCAAGCCATAGACTTTCGCGATAATAATTATCCAAGCCATCCGTGTTTTGGTAGCGCGCCAACTCGGTCATCTGATACAAGGCGCGGTCACGCTTGCGGAAAAGAGGGATAACTCCAGAAAGCGGTCCTTTCAATTCTATCGAGACAAGGCATTATATCGTCGGATCAATATAAAACGCTGGACGGCGGCGTTATATATAAAGGTATTCACGAGCAGCGTACGTGAACGTCTGAAGAATTGTTTGTAAGCTTTCTCTATCGATTTTATCGATGTATTTTCTATCTCTTTTAATGCAATAAGAATTGTTTTGTCTTGAATTTCTCAAACAATAGCACACATACGATACATGCCATTTGCAATATTAATTATTACAGCGCAGCTTTATATTCGACAGATTCGATTCCATATATTTCCTCTCTTTTAACGTAGCCAAAATTAAAGTTTCGAATTTTTCAATTATTACATTATTACCAAATATATGTTTCAAAATTAAATGGATGATTGCTTAATTATTTTCACGGGTCTTTTTATATAACTAAAGTTTCTCTTTTTACAAAATTAATTAAAATGCTTTTAATTAACATAGGTAGCCGAATAATTTAATATAAATGATAAATGACGTATAAAATAATAGTTCAAAATTATTAAAGTCAGGTTTTATTTTAATATCTTTAAAAAATTTGCGTGTATAATATGTACGTATATTTGTATACGTACATAAATATCCTTACAATTACACATTATTATGGTACAAGATTTTTCGAGTGCTGATGCTTAATATATCAGCAGATCGAACACTTCGATTCATTATTTTTTTTAGCCGCGTTTCGATGTATCAATTGAAACAATTATCGACAATAGGGGTCTGTTTTCTTTAATTGACTTCTTGCTGCACTTCGTCTTTTCTCTTTTTTTCTTAACGTTGAACGATGCAAGAAGTTCAACTAAAAAAACAAGCCTAATTCCCAATGAAAATTAACAAGAAAGTGCAAACCCAGACAGAGACAGACAACCTGTTGGAATGATTAACAATGTTTCCTTAACAGGTCGGCAACCGCGTGTGCGTTTAATTAGCGCACAATTGAGACGACGTGACGATGCTGTAGGTGAAAGCCAGGAGAAGATAGACAGGGTTTTGAGAGAGAAAGAGAGAGAGAGAGAGAGAGAGAGAGAGAGAGAGAGAGAGCCGATTTCTCGACGCAAGTTGCGAGGATCCACTATGTCCCTCGTGCTTCCATCAAGATTGCTTAATTGCGTAATTCGCGGCATGAATCACTCCATGATTACGACCTCGTAATTGCAACAGTTAGCCAAGCGACGTGCCATAGCGCAATAATTAAAGCTGCCGACTGTCTCCCCGTTTACGCGTTACAATATTGCGCAATTTGATTCCACATCCCCTATCCTCCTACTGATATTTGTAATTACCTACTTACTTACATTACAATATGATGTTTTTAGCTTTCAATAGCTATTATAATATATTGTATTTAATAAAATGCGAGATATTTATTAATGTATGTTATGCACATAATACACAGCTGTAATTATTGATATTATTAGAAGTTATATTTTGTTTATAAATTATATTTCATCGCGACACGAATGTATGTTTGTATTTTTTTATATAATATAAGTATATATGATATATATTATATAAGTTTTTATATAATATATATCATAAATATATTACAAAAATTATATATTAAAAGGATTATTATCTTTTATAGATATCTTTCATCAAACATTAATTAATTCTATAATATGGCAATTTTCTTTTGCAGAAAGACAATTATACATGTCAGATTAATACGTATTAATTAATTAACACAGGGCTTTAAAGAGCTTGATTTATTGTTCCGTGTTAAAATGGATAACTTTTGTTCCCGGCAACCATTTAATTATTTCTCATTTCCGCTGAGTAAGTTTTATTCCGTTGATTTATTACCGGGAGGAGTAGTTAGTACAGAATAATTAGAGACGATTTGTATACGGCGGTTGACAATTTATCGCAGCAGAAAAGATGGCGTAAAGTATTTCGGTCGATAAGCTCATCGTGCAAATCGAGCTCTACAACAAAAGTCCGTCATCTCATTTCTGCCGTCATGGACACTTCTATCGTCGTCGTTGCAACGTTCCTGCATAATACGTTTCCGCACTTTCTTTTGCGCACCATACTCTCTACCCGGGGATTTCAAGCAACGGAGAATGAACATCATGGAATACAATTCGAAGTAGCAGCTTTTTCCCCCGACAAGAACTAATTTGCTCCAGCAAATCCGCTTTAGCAAAAATAAAACTGCTGCAACGCGAGAAGTTGGTTGCAACGAAGAATGAGAAGTCTTAAAAGCCTTCCCGACTTTCGTAATTTACAAAAGAGTGATTCATAATAATATGTAATTCTTAAGTTGATAATTTTTCTAATTTTGCATTTCAACTTATTGCTTAAACAATATTGAATTTTTTAAAAAATGATCAACGGTATTATATATTTGTATAATCAGTGTTTTACTTTTTCATAATTAATTTCAAGCGAATGAAATTTTACGGAATCGCAGATGAAATTTTAACTACGAAGAGATTGGCGGTAGAAAAAGTAGGAAACACTCCGGAAATAGCACAGATTGAATAGAGATATGATTTTGAACGCGTATTTCCTCTTGATATTATAAAGAAGAACCAAAAAACGTTTTTAATTGAAAAGTTCAAAGCTTTATCTAAACGCAAATTTTTTTCTCCTCGTTAACGGAGATTCTCTTGGTCGGACACTTGAAACTCTCGCGTTAACTTGCGCGTTAAACGCTTAACGTGGTTAAAGTTCATTTTACGTGCTCTCGACTACGAGTCGGGGAATTTTCTCTCAGCGAAACTTTAATCGAAACTCTTAATAACAACATCGTTGGCCTTATCGCCGGCGGTGATAACGGCACGTCTGCCCCTCCTATAATTCTCTCTGCGTCTTGCAAGCGCGGCTCTTAGCACTTCGCAAAGCCGCGACTAATTTTCTCATCCCGTAAGGGGAGGTTGATTTAATTACCATCACGTCCCAGCTATTAATTAACCGTATTAATTAATCGGACTATTGTTCCACTATCAAAAGAGCGAGCTTTGGCACGATTACGTAGTAAATTATTATTTGGGTCTCCAACGCTCGAATCTTGATTGGCGTCGTTAATATTGCGCCGACTTAGTCTTTGGCGCAGCCGGCCGCATTCATAGTGCACATTAGCATAATTATGACCGTACGTTACTGTGACACCGCCACAGGAGTTTTCTTTCTCTCACTCTCTTTTTCTCTCATTTTCTCTCTCTCTCTTTCTCTCTCTCTTTTGCCAATATCAACTACTGCATGCGCGCTCAAACAGTTAATTTCGGCGGGGTGAATTAGCAACGAGGATGATTATGACGTTGTTTCAATATAATTATTTTGTTCGAATATTGAGAATGTACAAAAATATTTAACGTAAGAAAAAAATATATTTTTTCAATTCCTTTTTCTTCAATTTCCATATAATATAAATAGTAAATGTTTATACAAGCAAACAGTCAAAAATAATATATTTCACGTATAGTATATATTTAAATTCTGCAATCAATTTAATTTTGCTTACAAAGATGCTTTAAAAGTTGAATATTAAAGAATTATTACTACAGTTATGAAAAATGAAAAAAATTAAATTTTAATTTAAGAGATAAGTAATGTAAGTAATTTGAAAGCATGAAAAAAGACTCCAAAGGAAATGATAGTAGTTCTGGCACGTATACAAGATCTTGCTAAACGGCGAGTTTGATTTCGATAAGAGTGTTACTGAGAGTTGATTTTTTCGTTGGCTGAGCCAAGAGAAACCTTTTGCAGTATCGATGTACCGTGGTTAAAAGAATTACAGCATCGTCGACTGTGTAGAACGGATATTTCGGAGGAAAGTTTTGCTGAAAAAAATAAAACTTTCCTTCCGCAATGTCATTTTTGCTTGCATTCCCTTCGCTTCTCTCTCTCTCTCTCTCTCTCTCTCTCTCTCTCTCTCTCTTGCTCTTTTTTGTCCCCAAAAAATTTAGAATTCGTGAGATTCACGAAAGTCACGAAAAATTTTATAAAATTCACGCACGTTTATCAGGCACTATAATTATTAGAACTAAAATTGAAGGAGAATTATAATACGAAATTTTCACGCGAAAGGGAAGAAACGTATTATAATGAGAAAATAAAATCAAATCGAGATTGAAACGATTAATATAATACGTTCAATCCGATTAATGTTGGTGTTCTTCATAGAGCAAACTTTCTTCAGAGAAACGTTTTATTACAGCAACGTGATTCGCAAACCATTCGCATCTCAGTTTCTCGCAGTTTGCGAAGACAGTGCGACTGAATTCACTCGTGCAAACGTGACATCAGTGACGTGACATTAGTAATTCATAACTGACAACTGCGGTTGTGGATGTCACTCGCAAATCGGTTACATTTGTTCTCCGTCCAGGACATATATCCACATCCTCTCTCTTTTTCTCTCTCTCTCTCTCTCTCTCTCTCTCCTTCCTTCGAACGAGGTTAATTTACAGCGACGGCCGCTTCGCCATTAATTGCGTTTGCCTAACGAGAATTATTAACTGTTGGCGTTGTAGGGTGATACTACTTGCGACGATCATTTAGATTAATGGTTTATGAGTATTCGCTGGCCGATCAGAGTCGAAGATAATCAGACAAACAAAAGATAACATCCATCTTAGATATTGAAATGACGATCTTTTTTATATAAACATTTTATTTCGTTAGGATGATTTATTTCGTGAGAGGGATAAAAGTATCTTTCTTTTTTTACATATAAAAAGTAGGCAAGGATGCATGCTATTTCTTTTGTAATGCTTTTATTCGCAGTCCCATATTAATTAACTTTTACAATATTACATTACAATATTAAATTAAATAAAGTGCGTCAAATAATTTTTCGCACATTAGAATTTTACACGATACAGAAGTCGCGTTGTCTCGTCTTTTAGTCGTCTTTCTGCTCGTTTAACTCGCAAGAGACGAATACGGCGTGAAAGAGAGAAGACTTGAAGAGGAAACAAGGAAATCTCTCTCCGGAATATAACGTAAGTTTCTTCGTTGCGCGTTGTAGTACTCGTCATCCTAGTAATATTTTTGGTACTCAGAGAAAACTCTTGACGGGATTCCAGAATAATGTACGTAAGTCGGATCGACGATAAACGATAAACGCGCTGCTATTCCGAGCAATTGTAGTCTGGTTTTATCGCTTTGTGTTTCAAAAGCTTGCACAATAAAAACAGAAAATCGCGAATAGATATCCTCAATAATTCGTAAACACCTTTATTCATGTTATGTACGTTTTATATTTCGCTTTATGTCGCCTACGAGGTTTTATGTTCATACCACGCTTAAACGAATGATGATATTTCAGATGTGCGATAGTTTTGAATTGGATCTACAACAATAAATCTTTTATAGGAAAATTATAAAGGGAGATATTATAAATTTTGATATTACTTACTCTTGGAGTTATTTGCTTAGCAACAAAGTATAGATTTGCACTTAGGTAAATACGAATTCTAATAAATCTTAATCTTTTGTTGAATATTTTAAATATATACATATAATTTTTTATGGCATACATATATATATATATATATAAATAATATATATTTTTATATAAATATATTTTACAATCTTTTAAAGATTTTTCCTTTTGCAACGAGACGAATTTCTAAGTAATCACATAGTTTTTATAATGGTTGAATTTTTCAAATATTATATGGCTGGGAATTTTTCGCCAAGTTTCAGTAACAAGATACCGTGAATTTTTCTCGGCAATGCAAGCAACGATTCGCTATACTATCAATTTTTCCGGTGACAGCAACTCGCCTCGAATCGGCGATCGCTTTACGATCCTAACCCATATCTAGAAAAGTAGTTCCTCGATGCGGGTTGGAATCGAATCAGAGCGAAACGAAACGAAACGAAATGAAGGCGGAGATTCCGCGGCGGTGGTGACGGCGGTGGCAATTCCCGATGCAATTGCCCGGAAAACTAGACACGTGAACACGAAAAAGTTTCGATACGCTTTTCTCTACTACCATGACTTGGTGTCTTTGGAGGTAGTAAAGAAAATAAGGATAAAGGTATCAAAGATAAAACTACTTCGAACATTTTTGTCAAAAGACATGATGTAGAAATTGATTTTGAAATAGTGCAGAAAAATGCATCTCAGTTTCATTAAATTTCAGACGTTCATGTTGCTATTTAAATAACTTTATAAAGAATTATGTCCTTAAATATATTGTTTTGTCCTTCGAAAAACATTATATTGATATATTATATGTTGACGTACAGTTGTTGAGTTACAGTTGTTTCGTAACGATTTCGTTTTTGCCTCCGTGAAATATTTGCCAAATATTTGTCAATGTGTTGTTATTCTTGCAAATCTGTATACGACTCTTGTTTTTCATACTAGCAAATATTGCAGTTGACGCGAGGTGCATCACACAGATAAGAATAAAACTAAGGCACTAGATAAATATTCTCATCTGCCATTTTGGTTCCTCTTGATTGATAGGTTATAATACGATTAGTGACAAAGGTAAATGTTAAAAGCTCAAATTTTAATAAAAATAAATCGCATGCATTTTCGCGTAAAAATAAAGATTTGACAAGAAAAAAGTGTAACTCTGCTCCACAAACCGAGATATTAATCCTTTAAGTCGACCATTCGACTTAGAAAATCTGTCATAACAATGGTTCACTACGCTTTAAAAACATAAATTTTTTGCTAAAGTAGTTTTGAATTTGTATTTATAACGCAGTGAACCACTGCTGCGACAAATTTCCTAATCCGAATAGTCGTCGACTTTAAGGATTAACATTTCAGTTTGCGGAACAGAGCGACACTTTTTTCTTGTCAAATCTTTATTTTTACACGAAAAGGCATCGATTCAGTATATTTTTATCAAAATTTGAGGTGACCGAGCTCTTCTTAATTAACATTTACCTTTGTCACTAATCGTCCTATATAATAATCAAATAGAATCAAAATGGCGGATATCAAAATGAGGAACATATATATCTAGTGCCTTAATAAAACGCGTCAGTCTTGAATATTTTTGTATTTCTTTCAGGCACTAGTCTGTTCGCGGTGGCTGCTCACGAATTCGGCCATTCCCTGGGATTGGCGCACAGCTCGGTCCAAGGTGCTCTCATGTATCCCTGGTACCAAGGACTGAGCCCCAACTACGAGTTGCCGGAGGACGATCGCCATGGGATTCAGCAGATGTACGGTAAGATATTCTCTTTCGCTACTTGTTAATACTTGCGCGATCGTTAAACATGCAGTATTTAAATTAAAGTTGTTTCCTCGTAAAAAATAAATTGTTGGAGCTTTATGTGAAGCTGTACAAAAATATTAATATTAAATATAAATGAAATTTTTATTCAAGCAGATATTAAATTTGAATCGCGCAAATTATGGATCCGAGAACAAGAGAAAATCGTTGGGATGTGATAAAAATAATTTTAGTCTCAAAAAAATATTGTCATAAATTTGAAATCAAAGAGAGAAAATACATTACGATATATAATATATTGCGTAATATTTATATCATCGTTAATTATGAGTTTAGGAAAATGAAAACAGAGACTAGAATTATTAAAAAAATAACAGTATGATTATAACGAATTATAATGAATTATAATGCTGAAATTGAAAAACATCGTTGAGCTCTGATAAAATATAAATATCGCTGTATTAATTTTACTAGTCATAAAATACTATTTAGTCTTTGTCGACTAAAAAGCAAATGGAAACAGGAGCAGGAGTTGTCCTGCAGATTGTACGCTGCGCGATTAGCATTCCGTGACTTCGTGGCTCCGTTCTTCGAATTTTCTTCGTATTCACGCGGTGTGAATCTAGTGAGTGGGATGTGCGAGCAGTTTATCTCGATCGTAAAACTTTCGGTGAACGGCGATGTGGTAGAGGTGAGATTTATAGCGCGCGTTATCGGCGTGGGATCGAGCGGGGGCGGGTGAGCATTGCTCGTGTGCAGTGTTTCAATTTCGAGCATGCTGTCGGAGCAACTGCAGGCATTAAGGCGATACTGCTGTTGCAGTCGGCTCGGCTTGTAATGTGCGACATAACGCTTGGCGTGTCGGCAATCGAGTTTATTAAAAAAGTTGTTTGCTCTTTATAGCGCGGCGAGCCTGACGAGGAGAGGGGATAACGTAGGATAATTTTGGCGAAAGTAATGGACGATATAAATTTCCCGATTAATAATAATAAGTTTCGCCAACTGCTATTTCGTCGAAACATTTTATATTTTTATCTCAAAAATCCCAATTGAATAAATTTTAAACCTATATATTTTATAAACTGTATTCATGTTTCGAAAAATTGAATATAGTTAAATATAGTTAAATCAAATATTCCTTTATTACCGTATAATATCGATAAAAAGAATATACTCGTAATGTGCACTGAAAGAAAAAATTGGCTGAATATGGCATAGAATTTTTAATTGATTGCAGCAGTCAATTTTTAGTTGTGATAGCCTATCAAAATCCTATACTGACATTGCGGATTAAAGGCTAACGCAACCAAAAATTGGCTGCTGCAAACTAAAATTAGTTGTTGCAGCCAATTAAAAATACTATATTATATCTAATTGTAGCAGCCAATCTTTTTTCTCAGTGTGTGATTAAATGTCATTTTTGTTATTTTCCATTCACAACTTCTAAAAAATCATTCTTTTTGAATTATGACGATTTTATTATGAAATTAGGTAGTTCACTTTTGATGATAGATAAAGTAATATTTAATTCATGATAATAAATCAAATATCACGTTTTTTGCACGAGTTACTGTCACTTTTGAAGTAATGGAGTGATATATATTATTCCAAATATTTGTAATAATATAAAACAAATTTCGAAGCGAATGCACATAATAGTTTATAGAAGTTTTATTTAGACTAAAATTATCGCAGAATATATTCAATATTGGGTTATCGTGTTACACCTCCTATTGTCGGAATCACCCGTGTAATTTCACTGCGCATGTAACGGATCACAACTTGAGCATGTCGAAATTGCTTTAATCGCTCAGTCATGAGAAACAGCTTAGTTATATTCACCCGACCAAACTGCGGAAATCTGTAGTCCATTATACAGGGTGTTGAAAAGATAAGAGAAATTTTGGTCTATCTAAATATGTGTTCGAATATTGTAAATAAAAATGCCCCATTTGAAAATTATTTTTTTTTATTAACGAGATTATATTTATTAACGAGAAATTTACTCTGAACTTGTAAGAAATATGATACATTTCAAAATCGATAAAAGCGATGGGTAGATAAAGTTGAGACACCCTGGCTCTTTAATCGAGATTACGGGCGCCTGTGCAACATCGGAAATTTGAATTTCTGGCAAGGATCTATGTCTCGCAGTAGTCTTGCAGTAGATAGGGCACTTTATAGTCCTACGACGGGGGTAAAGTTAGCCTTTCAGTAGCAAAATCGTTTGATAGTCAGCCGCTGCATAGCGAAACACAATTGCACTAGTCAAATATTTCGACCTGAACAACTCTATGGCATTTAATGCGTACCTGTGAGACGTAAAAACATTGAAAGATGTAGGGATGCTCAGAAGCGCGAAAAGGATTATTGTTCGAATATTCTCTTTACGTTACAGAATAAAGAATAACCGAAGAAGTCTTTGTTCGCGTCTTTTTGTTTCTTAGATTTTATTACAAATGCCAGTCAGTTTTATTATTTTATATATTTTTCAATATTTATTAACATTAGAAGATATTAGAGACGAATAACGGAATTGTGAATATCTATAAAGAGAAAAATTAAATAACAGATGATTATTTATCAATTGTAGAAGTCTTTATTTAAAGAAAATATTCCAGTTATTTTACTTTTAAATTACAATAATTACTATTCATATATTATCGATATAAATTATAATTTTATAAACAAAAAACAAAATCTTTGCCGTTTAGAATTATACATGCAGAGGTAATATTGAAAAAGTTTGTTTTTTGTTTAAAATTATAATTTATATCGATAATATGTGAATGTTAATTATTTCAATTTAAAGCTAAATAATATATTTGAATAAATATTTATATAATTTATAAATAACAATTCCATAATTAATAAATAATTGTCAATTTCCTTAGAGATTCGCAGTTGCCTCATTCTCTCTTGCTTCAAAAACATTGAAAATATATAATGGTATTTATTTTAAACAACATGTGCATTCTGTAATCATAATGTATAGTATGACACTAAATGTATATCAAACTACTGCTGTGTGCAAGAAATCAGAAATTATCACTATTTTAATATGTTACAATAATATTGTTTACATTTATGTTCGCAATTCCTCCACTCTATTCTATTAAATAATAAATATTAAATGAATAAAAATTTTTTGTCTGTTAATATGAAAGTGGGAACTTTTTATTTGTCTGTTAATAAAGCAAAAACATAAATAACATTTCTCTCTTTGACGTATGTTCTAACTTTTCGCGGTGCAAGCTTAAAACTGCCACTAAGACCGGCAATAAAAATGATACATCATACCGGTGGAATAAAACTGTTGGAAGGACGAGTTTCCGACTTGTTGCAATGTTTGAAATAGAAGGAAGCTTTCGATTCGTTGTCTTTACGTGGTTGACTTTATGACACAATGTTACAAAAGAAGAATGCAGATATTTTATGTGCATGCGGTGAAACATATATGATATTTTCTTGTGGCCGAACTAGCGTACATTGTTCCGCATTTTCCGTCTTTTGATATCCTCTTTGAAATAAATCTTGCAAGAAGTTTTATACGATATTTTAAATCTTGTCTTTATCCTTTGAGTTCATGTAATACTTATTATTACTCGCAACTTCGAATTCTTCAGGTTCTTTCTGAATTTAAGAATTTAATCTAAAGCATCAATCTCATTTACTTATTTTTATAATTGTCGTACAAATACCACGTTAATAAATTACAAGCTGAAATAAATTGCAACTAGCTATTCCATTTTAACTATAAATCATTTAAAAACTTTTGCTAATTTATAATACTTATAATTTATAATACTTAATTATTCACAGTATTTAAAAAAGTTCTACATTTATTATATATAATATAATTTTATTTATTTATATATAATTTCATTTTCTTTTATAATCATACTATATAATCCTCGATAATATATATTCATGTTTAATTACACATTAGATGTAAAAATTAGTGTTGCGACGAAGCTGTCGCATACAATAATTTACGTAAATAAATTTTTTTCAAAAATACTTTGTACTGCCATTACTATTTCAACACAGACAATTCTAATTGATATAATCAAAATTTTCTGCTTTGTCCATTTTCAACTAACATTTTTTTCAGTGAAAGAAGTAAAAATAATCTTATATAATGGCTGAATAATAATAAACAATAAATAACAAGAAGGAACTGCAAACCAGATTTTTATGTATTTCAAATTCTTAGAATATATATTTCGATCTTATTATTAAGTCATTCTCAGTGTAAAGAAATTAAACGCAAATTTGACAAAATTAATAAAACGGTTAAAATTATACAATTTATAGTTACGCAAAAAGTTGGTAGTATTCTATCTATCTTCCGAACAATGCTTTTCGTTCTGGTAATATTATCGATTATATTCTTCCATTATAACAGTCGCAATAAATCCATAATGATAAAAATATTGAACTTGAGTTATTAAATAAAAATATATAATAGCACACATTCTCAACTACGATTGATAAACCATGATATAATCAGTAATTAAAAAAATGAATCAATTTAATTTGCAAGAAGCAAATACGATCAGAGATAAAAATTCAAATCAATTCAGTCAAATTGTTTGTATTGTATTATATATGAAAGAATTAAATTTCTAATATATTCCGATCGATCACTATTCTTTCGAAAACAACGAGAACGCAAAAATTATCGTAGCGATGTATCATCGCATGTACGTATTTCCGGTTGCATGCCGTGAGACTACGTCTCTCACGATGATGCACTGTTACTCTCGTTACGACTTCCCGTCTGCTCTTTTCGGCTACGTGGAATCCGGGGATGAAATGAAACGTGAATAAAATATAAAGAATGACCAGGGTTTGCCCACACTACTCATTCCTCCCGTCACCCCACCAGGGTATACGGACGTACTCCCCACTGGGGGATGGTGATTTAGTATACTGCGGCAGAGCTTTGCCAGGGTGGTTCTCCGGGGGATCGCGAATGCATTTCGATCCTC